TAAATTAGATTTCTATGAATAAAAAGGGTAAACAGGAGATGCTTCTGCAAAACTCTTCTAGACATGCAGAGATAAAGGATGGTTCTACCACACAAAATAATCAGATACAAAAATAGCTGTTCAGAAACAGCACACCTAAGGAGTACTTTAATCAAACATTTAGGTTACCTGCCAAAAGGACCATGATCTCTTCAAAATGCAATGCGGATTAAAGTGTTATCTAACACAAGCAGAAAACTAACCTTGGAGTGGAAGTTCGAAATGTGTTCATCATAATTTTCATGTCTTTGGATAGAGAAACCAGCTTTTTCAGCTAGATTGCAAAACTGGTTTAAAGTATTCCCTCTGAGTGGAGCAAATACCATTGCTTTTCCCTGGAACATTAAAAAGAGAATTCACACATTTTTAAAACTGGAAAGGAACCAGATATAACATACACCTGACTAAGCTTTTAATATACTCAGACTGGAAAAGTCAATTGTTCTCTTGGAAAAATACTGAAATAGGGTAATATAAATAATTGTTCAGAGTATGCAAGATGTCTATGATTAAACAAATGCAAAAGAGAAAGCAATAAATATTTTCTTTAGAAAACCGCCAACTGCAATACATTTGATCCTTTTCATATAACAATAGTGGCTATGAATTACCAAAATAAAACATAGAAAAGCATACAAAATATACATTCAAAGCAAAATACATTTGCTAGCTCATAATCATGTAAAAACAGTAAATAATGATTTTCTCTTTTTAACTCACACACACAGAAGAGTATGTTTCATTTGATGTCTGTGGAATTATAACAGTGTAAAATCAGGAAAAGTGGAAGGCAAACAGGCCCAATCATTACTTCGAAGGATATTTTGGACCACCTCAGCAGTGCAACTGATTTTGACCTTAAACTGGCAAATTTCATTTAAAGCACAATTTAATATTCTTGCATAGTATTTCTGGATCATGCAAAATGATCAGGCCATTTGTGATGCCCAGGCAATATATTACAGACTATTAACCATTTTTTTTTCTCATTCTTCTGTATTTAAGAAAACAAAAATGACTTCAGCTTGAACTGGTATATTTTAGACACTTTGTACCAAACTTAGCACACTTGATACAGCATCTCTTGAAATCTTATTTGCAAAAATAATTTTAATTGACTGAATATTGTATTCTGTCACACAGAATGAAGACTGGCTGAAGAGCTGTAGCTAAAGGGTAATATCAGCCAACAACCTATCATGTTGCAAGCGGCTGCAACAAAGTTTGCGGGGAGGTCTTTTATGTGACTTCTATATTATGGAGAGATAATAGGAATTTGGGAAGCGCTTCAATCAGCTGAAGAGACAAAAAGTATCTTTAGGAATCTAAAGAAGAAATAAAACGAGTATGAAACCTTGGAAGAATGTTCGGCTTGAGTAAATGCAATCTTCTATTTGAGATGGAAAAAGAAACCAGAAGAGAGAATCGCAATGGGAAGGAGGAACGCTGGGAGGTTACGATGCTGACACGGATACTTCGCCGAGAGGATCTGCGTGTTGCAGCTAGTGCACACATATGCTCAGACAACACACAGTGAGGCAATAAGTGTCTATCTAGTGTCTGTACCAACACCTCCTTAAAATACTCCAATTATTAATACCATAGCGTTGTATATTTATTCTCACAGTCTCTGAGGCAGGGAAATCCTGTTATCCTTGTTTTTCTCATGTGAAACTGAAGCACAAAGGGGACCAATATACAAAGCAGCCCATTTTTGTCTGTTTGTGCACCTATAGCACTAACTCAATGGCTAAGCACGAAGTGCAAATGGGGGTGACTCCACCAAAGGTACTGGCATTGCTCATGTAAATATTCGGTCTGAATATAGGCTCAGCTCAGGATGAAAAACATTAAACACAGGAAATTCACAATCCGTATGAAATGCACCATAATTCCCTCACATCCTGGGCATGCTTTAATATCATCAGACAGAAAAGGGGGACAAAATCAGATGAAGATCATAACTTGTTCTGCACAGACCCTTCCTAGCTAAGATGGACAGGGCTCCATTGGAATCCTGTATCTTCATGAGCACATCCACAGAGAGGTCAGCATGATGAAAAACACGTCCCTCGGGGCTCACTGACTGCAGGATTCCTGCACGGATTTCAGGAAAGGCTGCATCTCTTGTGTGGAGACCATCAGGGACTCCAGCCCCACTGCTGGCCACCATTCCGGTGGCTTTGATGAGGCAGCAACGCTCACACACACCAGTGACATCTTTCAAGGCTGCAGCTTGGGGTCAGCACTCTGTGCAGTCACTCATTTTCATAGTGCATCTAAACTAATGTTTGCACACTTAATTCAAAACAGAAACATGGGATAACAGAACATAATGCAATACTAAATATCTCTTAAAATCAGACTGAAAAGCTCAAAACAACTTGAAAAAAGCAAGAGCTTTTCATGGAAATCATAGCACGATTACTTTGGGCTGCTTCTTCAATGTGGTAAGAAAATACTCCTCTGCTCAATGTGCATCTAAAGCACCTGAGTATCTTGCCACTTCTGGATAAAAAACAAACATAAATCGTGATTAAGTTTTATCATTCAATAATCTCCAAACTGGCAGACACTGTGGTCAATTTTGGTCTACTACAATGTAAGTTTAAAGTAGCTTCAGGTTAGCTGCTTGATCTGTGTAATTCTGCTACCTTTTGTGGGGATGCAATCACGTTGTTAATTTTAAAATGTTTTTCATTTCTTAGTTGATGTACAGTAACAAAATTAGAGCAGTGGCCTGAATCTACACTTGATGGACTATGCACCGGTAATGCAGTTATTTAATTCAAAGCTTACAATTCAGAAATGTCTCCCAATTTAGAATAAATGTTTAAAGTTAAATATGGTCCTTCCTCAGTCAGGAAGACATTTCTAGTAAAATAGTGAAGAAAATATGTCTCTTTTCTATCATTTTCTTTCAGTCACAACTGTCTGATGTGTCACTAAAATGCTATAGTAAGATAATAGGGCAGGTGTTCTGATTTTGGACATGACTGTGACTAATTTTACTCATCAATCATTATTAAATCCAGCCTTTTTTCTTATTTCTAGGACTAATCTTTATGGTTTAATAACATCTGACTGACTTCACTGGAATTGTGAATGGACAGCCCACAGCAAACTCAAACCCTTAATAAACAAATATTTCTCTTCAGAAAATGTGCAAGCAAACAACTGCTCAGTCTGAGAGCAAAATTAAAAGTGCATTTTTATGTTAGGAAAAACTAAAATGATGTCTGCAAATCAAGCAGGTTGCTTATAAGAGGAATAAAATACAGCCACATCAGATACATTTGTGTGATGTAAAATCTGAGAGCCTAATTTGCAGAATCAGTTTAGAGGTGACACTTGCCTTTGTAACAAATTCAAATAAGAAATTTTGGCTCCTGGTTGTGTGGCTGCTGCTTGTTTCTGCCTGCATATGAGTTTCCTGTCCTCCCTTCCTGTGCCAATACAAATGTTCATGTGGCCAATCAGAGTGAGATGACCAGGGTTAAGAGTATTGTTTTCAGAAAAACAAAAAGTTACCCAAAACACATCATTCTGTGACATCATGATGACCCACAATCCTAATAGCACTGTTGACCAAAAATAACATCTTTAAGAAAATAGGAAATGCCACAGATAAATTTATCTTTTTTAAGGAACAGCAAGAATAGATTATCCGTGCTGAATTCCTCTTTCAAAACAGCTTTGTGAGGACACTCATTATTTTCTGTTTACCCTAATTTTCATTTCAGTCTTGTTGTCTATTATTTTCCTTTAAGACATTTGTGGAAAGTTATAGAAGGAATAATGTAATGGTGTACAGCTTGGCACGCACTGTAAAACTGTTTTATCCTAGCTGTATAATGCAAGTGCAGCCGGATGCACTTGACCGATGTGTCTTGAATCTGCATACATCTTTAATTTCAGATCATTCCTCTATCAGTTTGGCCAAAACTATGAGCAACAAAATTGTAACTTCTATCTTTCAGACAAAATAATACATATAGAACAACGAACTTAACCAAAGTATTTAATGTCTTATCTTGTCATCCTCTTAATTAATGAAGCTGGCATATGAGTCCACCATTTTAAAATTATTTTTCCTTTCAAGGCCAAAAAAAATATGGACATTTAACAAAGTTTTCTCTGATGCTATCCCTAGATTTGTAAAAAAATAACAAGAACTGTATGAACACTTTGTACTTCAGGCATATGCTTGAAGACATCTTTATTCAGCATGTCCTTTTTGGACCAGGGAGCTTATTTAACGTGTTTCTACACCCAGCCTGCATTTCCAGCTTTTCACTGAGACTGTACAGATGAAGGAGTTACCCAGAGAACCAGATGAGGATATTGATCTGGACCGAAAATATCCCTTTTTACTTTGGGGGTAAAGCTTTCTATTTCAGATCACTGTTGGTCTCCAAAACCATTTTACTCTAAAAACTGAAGGTACCCAAAAGCCAGAACAAATCGCTCTGGGCAGGAGATACTTAATTTCCCCTGGTTGCCACTTACTTACAGAAATATCTGGGTACCTTTTTTTCTCAGGGTGGCTACGTTTTTTTCCTGCCTTCCTGGCAGCCTTGCACTATAGCTCATTAAAATCATTCAGTCTTAAGTAACTTGCCCTAGGTCACTCAGGGAAGTCCATGATAGAACTAAGAATAGAAACCTGATCACTCTTAGCAAAGAATGGGATTACTTTACATCACTGAAATGACTCGGTTTCTTAAGTCTTTGCACGTTTGAGTCTTACAAATAATTCCTCTTACAGAGGAAATCTCTGTAGAAAAAGAACAATAAAATTCTCAAATAAAGTTTAGAGAATGCATTACTAAGATGGAATACTTTTGTGTTGAAATGGAAAGGATTCCCTTACTGGAAGATTTGGCAAGCATGAAAGGCAAAATTCCTGTTTCAAATTCCTACACATACCAAGTACTTCATGCATTTTCTCTCCTTCTTGTTTCTCTCTCTCTCTTTTTTTAATTATTATTTTTTTATTTTTCAAGATTTAAGGTTATTTGTTTGGTATCGGTATATGAATATAATAGCTTCTTTTTGACTGGCCTGTCTCTGAAATTTAGTTTAAAATATGAATAAAACGAGCATCTGTAAAATATTGTGCAATATCCTCAGTGATATACATGGAAACATGAACGTAAAATATGCAGAGCAGTTCATGGAAAGACTAATTTCACTATTTCCTAAAATATAAAATATGTAAATACAGGGCTTAGTTCACAGGGAAAAAAAAAGTTTTAGGCTGCGAGGGCTTTATTCATCTTATACAAACAGAAATGAAAAGAAAAAAATATCTTTCATAATAAATAAATACACAATGACAAAGGTTACTATTGAAGGGATTACAAATGACAGAAGCCAACATAAAAACTTTTAATATCATACTTTTACTTTAATATGAAGACATTATTATCAAAGGAAAATACTTGAGAAACGCTTTGATAAAAATAATCTCACACTATCTTTGAAGCGGTTTCATTTATTTTACTACCCACTGTGTTTCTTATCAGAAGGCCAAGTATAAGAAGTTTCCTAGTTTATGATTAGGAAAGAATCTGATAGATTAGAAGACTCAATTGAAGTTGGACATAATAAGTATTAAAGTATTACATGACATTAATCCTGCCATTCCATTACTCTCTCAATCATTGTGCACAGACTAATTATTCTGAAGCCAGTGTTCAGGAGAAAATAGAAACATACTTACACTGGGTTGGAGTAATCTCTTTATTGCATCAACAAGGCTAGCTCTGTACCGGTCCAGAAACAGGCTGACATTGAGAAGAGAACAGAATCCAGATTAAAATGGGTTTTCAATTCTAATGATACTAATGCAGATAAGCACAAGGCTAATTACGTATATTTACACAATGCTGTAAAAGAGAAACTGTGGTTTGCATTTCTTTCCAATTCATGCACTATTTAATAAAAAAATGAAACAAAAGCAGCCAAAACTTGAAATAAACATTACTCATATCAAAGCCAAAGAATCAGCATGAAGCCATCCTTTACGTGGCTGAAATTCACAGATCACATGTGTTAGCTCTCAAAATACTACCATATCAGAAATCAGGATCAATATAATATAATATAAATTTAATGCTTTACATGCCTTTTGTATGGGCAGGATATGGAATTTATTAGAGTATTTTCTACTGTATTTCATGCCTTACTATAAAGGGATTTTCCTTTTTCTATTTGGAGTCATTATATTGATTTATTATCTATTATGCATATTTGCACTACTTCTATATGTCTATATTTATATAAAGGTACACCGTGACCCCGATAGTACAGAGCTGTCCTATCTCAGGAGGGAAATCCTTCATCTCCAGCATGGGTCCTGCAAAGACAGCAGCCGAGTCGATTTTCCCATGCAATGTTGCCAACATGCTCAGCCCTATTTTGGTGTGATTGCCTCATGATTTGAGGGGATAATTCGTTCTTCCTGCCCCTCGATACCTTAATGTGTACAGTAATGGTGGCAACCAGGGTGCCAATCACTCTTGACGAGGTATTTGTGGACATGTGGACGAGAGTGCATTTACAACGGTTAGTGAACAAGCAACTGAGAGCAACTGATGCCTTTCAGTTCTTACTACCTTGGGCTGCATTTATATTGGTGATTCAGATAAGAAAGAGTCTATCGAGCAGGCCACAAGTAACGTGATTTTTCTTCGTTATTTTTCATGCCTTCCTTGTAATAAAACTACTTCCAAATATGTGCCATGCTCAAGTTCCACATTATAAGGAATTTGTCCATTCTTTATTACTCATTTGTTTACCTTCTGCAATTCCTTTCTTCTCAGAAACATATATTTCTGAGGGGAACTGACTGATTTTTTCCAGGTTTGATATATTCAAAAGAATATAAAGAGTATATTAAAAGAATGAAGAAAAAGGAAGTGGTCTACAAACCACAGGCCAGTCATCAAGAACAGAATAGCATGGGTACTTAGGTATGAAAATTCCATGGAGAACAGGGAGAATATGATAGTATTGTGTATTATAAGACCAATGTGTAAGATCAGCAAATTTTTCCTGTTCAGGAAAAACAAACAAACCAACAAACAAATAAGAAAACAAAACATACATCTGAAAAACTGCCAGTGGTCAAATTTAATCATTAAAAATAAATGAGAAAGTATGATAGAGTTGGAATCCACAAACTTCTTAAAAGAACTTTTTGTGTAGAGGCATGACCCTTTGAATCTCTCCTGAAGTTGTTGAAGTACGGAATTTCTCTGAAACCAGAATAAAGTTTAAACGTCGAAATAAGCACAAATGGCTGCCCCTCAGCCCCACTTAATCACATTGGAAGAACTGGACAAATGCTTGTTTAAATAAAATTAATTGAAAGAGCAGACAATATCTCTAATGTTTCCTGGGAATTTGGACCCCATTCATGTCAGGTTGATCCCTATATGAATAGATAACGTAGGACACTAAATCACCAGGCACATATCTACATGCAGAAGAAAGAGAGGTAGACTGCACTGGATGAGAACCCTTCTCACCAAAAGTATTTTTTAATATTTGTTTTCTATAAAAAACGGTTCACGTGTACTCTGTGAAAGGAGTGGAAGGAACAGGAATAGCAAGGGTTTCTCTGGTCAGTAAGAAATCTCTGAGCACAGCAGTAAAGAGGCAAGAACCTACAGAGGCAGAGAGGCAAGAGTCATGATTTATAACCCTTGGCCTTTGCTTAGTCAGTGCTGTTCACCTGTGAAATCTGGGTGAACAGGCAGGCCATCTTGCCAGCTCCTTCCTTTCCTTTTTTCTTTCTTTTTTTTTTTCCCTTTCTCTCCCTTATTTTAAATTACCATTTCTTAATTAAAAAAAAAAGAAAGGTAAAAATGGAAGTATACACAAAAACCCGTATAGGTGTAACGGTAAATTGCTATGAAAAAAAAAAAAAACCCACAGATAAATTCTCTACTCAGTTAAAGCTAGTATATTTTATCCTATTTTCCTGGGTCCTGCAACCACAACTTATACTTTAAGGCTACAATGTGAAATTATTTTTATTTTCCATAATTTATAAGGGGTAAAAAGCTTAGTTTATGATCTACTTTAGACATGATTGCATTCATGTATAGTGCCTAGTGTCTACAGTCTTTTTTATCTTTTTGTTCACTTTCAACCATAAGGCTGTCACAACCTGAAAAAACTCTTACTTCCATGTCATCAGATTCCAATGCAATTGAGAGTAAAGTGTGTGCAAGAAATCAGGCTTAAAATGAAAAATAATTTTCAACTGAGGAAGGACAGAGATTTTACTGCATGCCTGCAGAAAGATTTCCTTTTATGAAATCAAGTCCTGATGGGGAAAAATGTATATATTTTAAGTTATTTAAAGAATATTTTCAATTTGTTTCTACATTTCTGCTGTGTCCGCAGCTTCTAGTAACTTAAGAAAGAATTTCACTGGTGAAAGCAATGTGAGATAGGCTTTTAGGCATCTGCTAGGCAAATACTTGCATGTAAGAAATGTACAAAATGTAAGAATGATCAGAGAACTGAACAGAGTAGGATATTATGCATTTCCTAAGTGATATGAGAATCTAGACCATATTTTGTCTCTTCATTAAAATTATGTATGAAAACGCTGTTCATGAGAACCTGGAGGGCAATGATTTTGTTTCTTGATCAACCTCTGATACCTTGAATTTCTCTTTGGATTAAAAATCTCAGCAAATTTCTATCTTAATAATTAAAAGAATACATCCTCTATCCTAATAAATAGGTATCTGGGACTCTTGGGAGCTTAAGGAATATCCTGTTTGTGGCCACTGTTATTTCCCTGTCACGGACACACTTGTTATTTCTCCTCCGCGCTCCATAGTCCCTCTCACTCATACCCCTAACACACGCATGACTATATCTGCAAGCGCAGGTCAAATGAAAGCTTGAAATTGTGGCACATTCTAGATTCACCAGGCCTTAAAATTGCCACTCAATAAAAGGAGGTGGCTGGATATACCTTAAAAATTTCAGTATTCCAGTATTTTTTCCAGTGTATCCTTTTTCCAGGTGTGGCCTCAGCAAGATATTTTTTCCTTGTTTTTTATCTCATAGTCAACATTTTATGAATTTTTATTGTCAAAATCCTGAACAGTTAAATAATGACTAGCTTTCACAGTTTGCCTCTTATTTATTTTATAATCTAGTTGAGCTACTAAATTTAGCTGTTAACTAATAGACTGTCTGTTCTGGGAAATAACTTATTTTCCACCCCTGCACACAACATTTATGAAAGTCTGAATGTAAATATATGAATATAAACATATCGCCGCTTGTTGTAATCATGCACATTTTTTCTTGAACCTCCATGTGGATTTGGAATATGTTTATGAATAGAGCTTGTTTTCATGTAAATGGGATCAAGCAGTACCACTGGTTAGCTATTCAGAGAATCAGACAATATCACCCTTGCTGGAAACACTTCAATAAGAATTTGTCCATGTACCCAATATTTGAACTCAGTTTTTTACTTTATAGTTCTCTGTTCTAATCCCAGATTTTATTGACTGACAATGAACTACATGATGGTATTAAACTAAATGCAATCTATTCTATCTGTTTTTTATCGCTGCATACTTCAGGTTTCACCTGAGGAACTGCAAGAGAAAAAAATTTATTTTCCTCTTCAATGGCAGCCCCAAAAAAATCAGAGTGAAAAAACCTGCCAATAGTTTTCAAGACAATTCTGTATCTTGAAAGATAAAAATGCTTAAATTTTTAGACAGGAAAATGAAAAGAAGACTTGAATTTGCTAAATACAAGCACATTTTTTTCAGCCTTGTCATGCATCAGATATTTTAGTATCCATTATTAAAACAATGATTTTTTAAAAGAAACAATATAGGGGCTTGATGCTTATTAAACTACATATTAGGAGCTATAATAGAAAAAAGAATAATTTTTGAATAATAATGTGTACTCTAAACTAACCTTCGCATACCTATTTATTTTTAAAATTCTATTAATAATTATACAATTACCTGCATCTTAAGTGCTTTAAAATAAATTACAAATGCGGGGATTGCAAATGCATTATGTGTTTTATCTGTCATGCGTGAGCCTTTGTTTACGAAAGAAACAAAATTATTTCCAAACAGACTGGGGGGAGTATTAGGAAAGAATATTATTGAGGAAAACAACTTAAGCTTTGCTCCACTCTGTAGTGCTCACAGTACAAATAGGATGACATGGTGTGAGTATCAAGAATACAAGGGATGGCACAGCCAGGTTGTTTTGATATTTGTGTGAAGAACAAATTTAACTCTAAATCTCTTGGCAAGACCTTGCTTCACCCACATAATCTGGAGAACATCCATATGTGAGCCTTGTCTAAGCCTCCGAGAAGACTGCTGCCCTCCTGCTCATGTATGCCAGCACTCTGATCTGACTTTCATACTTAATCTGATCTAATCCTGTCCAGCATTAACTTCATCTGTGCAATGAAACCTGGAGTATCCATTCTAATATTTGGTGAGGAAGGCATTTACTAAATTACTTGCTGAAATCATATGGTGTTGTTTAGCTCCTTATTTTAATCAGATGATGCATCTCTGAGGCACATTATCAGCGATTAGTTAGAAACCCATCTCTGTCCTTTTTGGGAACAAAGAACTTTTCGGAAATTAAATGCAAAGAGAAATGAAGCACTGTTGCATTCTGTCAGCAAAGAGGTATTACAAAAAGGAAAACAAAATAAATGTACTTTCTCCAGTGCTATATAAAAACAGCAACTTTTTTGAAATAAGAATAGTTTGCTTAAATAGCCACACATCAAACCAAAAAATCCCACAAATTCTTTAGAGGAATATTTCATCAGAAGCCACTTAAAAAGAACATTGTTTAAAGAGACAATAGGCAGCTTCGCACTTCCCTTTGCCTTTTTCCTTTAACTATTTCTTAGTAAGCTACAGAAATCTGCTGAATGGAGCTATCTTAGGAAGTCTCTGCTTTCAGAATTTGGTCTCTTACAATAGTTACATGCAACAAAATGTAAACATCTTTTTCTGTTTTGGACCACTAAAGGGTCAAGAGAAAATATCCATTAAGGATATGTTTAAAAATATCTGCTTAACTGAAATCCTCACAGGTGTTTTTATGCTTTCTCTACTTATAATAATTCATATAATTAATAATTTGCCATTGAAAAAGTTAGCATGCAGTAAATAAAGGGAAGCAAAATTATATAAAATTCTATATCAGAAATGGTGTGTTTCAATAATAAAATCTACTTACATACATTATTAGATTATATACTGTATTGTAACATATATCTACCTTTTCATAAATGTGGTATTCTGATTTTTTTGCTAAAAATTCTCTTATTATTAACATGTGTAAATAATATAAAGCCCAAGTCTATCAATACTGCTATCAAATTTAGCAGTATTGCTTTAGCAGTATTGATTTAAGAAACAGAATATGATGAAAAAAAAGATTTCAAAATTCTTCTTTTCCTTGGAAAGATTTTCTGGGAAGTAAAAAAATACATCTCCTTATATCAATAGTCAGATCTTTCCTAAGAAGTAGGCTAATTGAGCTGTTTGTGTTGATAAACTCCCTTTTTCTCCAGACTGTTCTTCACTGAGCCATAATTATTTGCAATTTGCCTAAGTCGTCCATTTACTGATACGTCAAGCATGAAACAGAGGCAATTCCAGAAAATGGAAATGCTTCTCAAAATCAATCTTTGGGAAATAATGTGGTAGAAGTTACTGTGTGATAGAAGACTACCTTATAACTGTCACATGGAGATGAATATTAATTTGTTGAGGTTAAGGTGGCTTTGTGCTTCATTTGTTGACTTTGCTTAGCCATCAGCAAGCAGCACAGTACAATTACTCCAGCAAAGCTATTTTTCTAACACGAGTTTTATGATTTTTATGTACTTACCAGTCAGCACACATAACAATGTCAAAATGTCCTTCCAGTTGAGAGACATCTGTCTCATTATCCCATCGTAAAATGCTAGAGGAAAAAAAAGATTAAAAAAAAAGGAAAAAGGACTTACATTTTTCATCTTGATATTTTAAAAGTATTAATATTATTTTTATGTGACACAGAAGTGTTTTAAAAAGTAATACGCGCATTGCTTTCAAAGATGAATGTAACAACATTATTCTGTACCTCTTTTTTTTTTTTAGCTTTTAAATCTCGAAGCTAAAGAGCTTCCTTTTTACTGCAGCAGCCAGGCGATTTAGGCAGGCTGCTGAGTGGCTCACCGACAAACATTCAGTCGTGAATTAGTGGCACATGTAGGCATTCAGATTGCTTTATTTTCTTTCTTTTTTTAAATTTTTTTTTTACCCCTGCCACCTCTGGGAGAGGCAAAGTATTGACAAGCTGGGTGCAGTAGAGATCTGCGAAGCAGATGTGGGCTCCCGGGCACATCTGGCAGGCAAAGAGGTTGTGTTTCTCACCGC